TTTTTTTAACACTTGCAACTGCAAAACTGTTGAGTTAAGCAATTGCACGTGATAACTGTGAGTTGAACACTTACAAGGAATTAAGTTGCGAATGGCGTGACAGTCAACTCAAAAGAGCATCAACTTAAAATGGTTACAAAAGTAAAGTTTTTGTTTTTGCTGGCATGTTATGAAAAAATATTGGCTATTATGAAGTATTATGCGTATTATGAGAGTATTATGGAGTATTATGATTCTATTATGATAGTATTTTGGAGTATTATGAGGTATTATGCAGTATTATGATGTATTATGGGTATTATGGGTATTATGAAGTATTATAGTGGTATTATGGGACCGTGTACGGAGTATTATACGAGTTGGCGACCCCTCGACAAAACAAAACAAAAAATATTTTTAAGATTTTTAATTTGGAATAGCTCAAGTGATGTCATCGTGTATTTAGTTGAGAAAAATTGTAAAAGTGGCTCATTCTAACTGCGACGCGTCCTAACAACAACGTTCTATCTACAGCGCGTCATTTTCACAATGTCCTATCTACAGCGCGTCATTTTCACAATGTCCTATCTACAATGGATCGTTTTCACAATGTTCTAACTGACGCGTCCTAAGAACAAAGTCTGATCTGTTTGCGCGCCCGTCAACAAAGTCCGATCTGTTTTTGTCCGCGCTCTGCATCGCTGGTTTAGTTTATTTCTATCTTCTCTAATACTGACAGTATAGCAAAAGTAATGACTGCTATGTGATCCTAAGAGATTGAAGAATAGCTGAGACCGAAAATGTAGAGCAAAGATACAGAAACAGATTTGTCACAAAGCTCCAAACGTCCGCCTCCCGAGCGCGACCAAGACCAGATCGGACTTTGTTGACGGGCGCGCAAAAAGATCGGACTTTGTTGACGGGCGCGCGAAAAGGTCGGACTTTGTTGACGGGCACTCAAACAGATCAGACTTTGTTCTTAGGACGCGTCGGGTTGTGACGGGACAGTTCGGCACCGCGGCCGTAGCGGGCGTGTTCGTGACGGGACATTCCAGCGACATGTTCGATGCGGGTATCCGTTCGTCACGGGACAGTCCGGACCTAGAAGGCCGCCGACGTGTTCGTCACGGGACAGTGCGGCCACGGGTCGACGGACACCCGTTCGTGACGGGACAGTTGGGGCCCGCAAGTGGCAGCAAAAGTGTTCATGACGGGACAATTCGGTATCGGGGCGGCAGCGGACGTGTTCGTGAAGGGACATCTCACCCCCTGAGTCGACAGAGATCCGTTCGTCACGGGACATTCCAGCCCCAGAAGCACACCTACGCGTGTTCGTGACGGGACATTTCGGCCCCAGGAGTACGCCGACGTGTTCGTTAAGGGACAGTTTGGCACCGGGGTCGCAACTGACGTGTTCGTGACAGGACATATCATCCCCTGTGTCGACGGAGATCCGTTCGTCACGGGACAGTCCTTTATGCCTTTATGCACCTTTATCTCTGCATGTAGGCAAAATAATGTAGTTTTGATCACACCAGGATCTTGCTTTTGACGAAATCTTTCAAACAAGCGTATCTAACGTTTTTCGCTTGCGAAGTATGGATAGGTATTAACTCAGTCCAATTGAAAACGGGGTGCGAAAACTGACCACCTTTAGAAAAAAGTGGCCACAAAAAGGCTTTGTTTGGTGCATCACTTTTTCAAAATAAACTCCGTGTCCGCTGTTTTTAGCCCGCACTTCTGCTTTTAAAAAAGCATTAAAGCGGGCTTATGCAACCGCTCTCGTGTCCGTCCGTCCGTCCGTC